ACTAGCGTCTCGCGGCAGGACGCGGACACGGTAGTTGGACCAGCTTCCATTATCGGATCCATCGGTCGCATCGAGTCTCTAGAGCATAAAACCGAGCAATTAGAGGCGAGCGTGGCAGCCCTCCCCACTCAAATCATGTCGGCAGTCCGCGAGTCCTTTCAGGACATGTTCAAGGCAGCCTTAACGCAAGAACTTCCCGAAATTCTGGCGCAGGTCTCTAACTCAGTCCTTAAAGCCGTGCACCCCTGGGTTATCGCCCAAATTAAAAACACCACTCAGAGCGACTCCCCGCAGGTTAAACGCAAACCGGCCTCCCGTCAGGCAGCAGAAGAAGGCTTTTCGGGGCCGGCTCCAGGTTTGCACCGGTCCTCTGCACCGTAAATAAATACCAAAAGATGGCTAGCCGATCTAATAAACAAGCTAAATATCTACAAAAATTTGAGATTATACAATGGAACTGCAGGGGTTTTAGAGCCTGGAAAAAACGGTCGCACCTCCAGCTCTACTTGCAGTCCCTCGGAAACATGCCCGCCTTGCTTGCTTTGCAGGAGCCCGGTTTGGACGTTAAATTCTCTGGCTATAGCACTTTCCAGGGGGGGGCCTCGTCATGCATCCTGGTGAACAAGGCATATACCGCGATTCAGGTCGATTTAAACTTAAGTACTGAACAAGAATACACAATGGTCAGAGTATACTGCCTCTCAGACGTCGCGACCAGTCAATACACATCCTAAATATATACAGCCCCCCGCATAACTTTTAGCGAAATCTTCCTCCGGGCGATCAAGTTGGCAGACAAGGACCCCTTAGTGATCGTGGGAGACTTCAATGCTCCCAGCCTTCACTGGGGCTATCACTACGAGAAGGCCAGAGGAGTAAGCTGGCGGAGCTTATCTCCACCCTTCGCCTCGCGCTGCTCACGGATCTGGCGCACCCCACTCGAGTGGGGAACTCGGTAACCCGTGACACGTGTCCGGACCTCTCTCTCGTAAAAAATGCTAAGGATGCTACCTGGGAGAACTTGGGCGATTCTCTAGGCAGTGATCACTGCCTTCTCCGGGTCACACTCCTGGAAAAGTCAGCTCATAAAAAATGCGGTCAAGCCAAGTTGACCGATTGGACCCAATTTCGCAATCAGACTATCCCTCCCGTACTATTTTCTGGAGGCTATGCAGAATGGGCTCAACACGTAAACAACATTCAGAAAAGACTTACTACTACCCTCCAAACCAACGAAGAAATCCCCGCAGTTGACACTCACCTCCTACACTTGTGGGAGGCGCGCCGAAGCTTAACAAAACGTTGGAAAAAGCAGAAGACTAATCGCAAATTACGTATCCGCATAGCCCAACTCACGGAACAGGCTGCAGCGTATGCTGCCCAACTCTCAGATTCAAATTGGATAGCCCGCTGCGACGCCGCAGCTCGTCAGATGAGCTCGAAGGGGACATGGCGTCTCTTTCGCAGTCTCATAGACCCCTCTCAAACGAGAGGGGAGGCGCAGAAGCAGCTCAGGCGAGCTCTGCAAGGGTACCAAGGCACTCCGGCACAGCTTGCGGATGCTCTGTGCGATAGGTATCTCTGTCGTACGGAGGACCCGCCTGGGCCGGCGTACACGTACTCTGGTAAGCCTAACCACCAACTCGATGCCCGTTTTGAGTTGCATGACCTTAAAGCGGCTTTAGCTAAAATGCGCAGGGGTACGGCTCCGGGGCTGGACCGCATAACAGTAAAGCTGTTGGCAAACCTCCCTGACACAGCCTACCTCCATTTATTGGAATACATGAACGAGATCTGGGACGGCCGTGCGCTCCCTTCCGAATGGAAAACGTCACTTGTGACTTTTATCCCCAAAGCAGGCAAGGCCGTGAATACGGAAAATCTGAGGCCCATATCACTGACTTCGTGCGCGGGCAAGCATATGGAGACGATGGTACGGGATCGCCTCTCCCCATACCTTGAGGGCAAGGGCTTCTTTGCAGACACCATGTTTGGGTTTCGCCCACACATGTCTGCACAGGACGTCCTTCTCCAGCTCCATAGGGCCGTCATACAGCCCATAAGTATGCAACACAAGGATCTGGATGTGCCGATCATACATCTTATTCGCTATTGTGTTTTAAATGAACATGCATTTTATGTTAAAAGTACAAGGCGAAGCGTTTTTGAACTTTTGTATATTCATTAGTGAATACTTCTAATGCTCGTATGTTTACTATGTATTTTTGTGTATTTTTGTGTTGAAGGTGTATAGCGACGCGTTTCAAACTTTGTATATAAATTTTTTCATTGCTTTCGGATGCAAGTGTTTTAAATTATCTCTATTTCTTACTGTGCGTGTGTGTACATGAATCTGTTCTTGCATTGCATTTTTGATCTTGCCCGCCAACTGTTTGTTGCGAAAAAAAAAAAGGGGGCACAGACCTCGTCAAGCCGTAATGTGGCTTTTTGTCTGTGTCCCTGTTATCTGTACAATGTATAGATGCGAAATAAAGTTCAAGTTCAAGTTCAAGTTCAACACAATGATAAAGCCATCCTCGCCCTTGATCTGAAGGGGGCTTTCGACAATGTTAAACACAGCAGCATCCTGGCTAACTTGAGCTCCACCGATTGCGGGGCTAAGGCCTTTGCGTATGTCAGAGATTTTCTCTCTAAACGCCAGGCACTTCTTCGGATCGAGGACGAGGAATATGGCCCGTACATTATGGGAACACGGGGTACCCCACAGGGAGCAGTGTTATCACCGCTCCTTTTCAACATTGCTATGATGCGCCTTCCAAGCGAATTGGCCAGGGTGGAAGGCACACAACACGCAGTATATACCGACGATATTACAATCTGGACCACTGAAGGGAGCCTTGGTGAAATGCAGGAACGCCTTCAGCAGGCCGCATCCATAGTCGAGGCGTATGCCAACGATTGTGGACTCCAATGTGCTCCAAACAAATCAGAGCTTCTGCACGTTAGAGCGAAGCCAAGAGATAAGTCAGCCATACACATCTCCCTGTCTGGGGTTCCCATCAGAGAGGTGGAGGAGCTCCGGATTCTGGGCCTGTTCATTCACCACAGACTCAGACCGGACTCCACTATAGCGAAACTCAAGAGAATAGGCGAACAGGTAGGGCGCATGATCCACCGCGTTTCCAACAAGCGGGTGGTCTGCGGGGCAGGGACGCGCTTCGGCTCGCGCATGCCTTCGTGACTAGCCGGATCCTCTACGCCGTCCCATACCTTCGCCCTAACAAGCAAGAAGACGAAAGAATAGATGCCATCATTCGTAAGGCTACTAAACGAGCTCTGGATCTCCCGGTGGCCACTTCCAACGCCAAACTGAGGGCGTTAGGTGTGCTCAACTCCTACCAGGAGTTGCGGGAGGCCCACCTTATGAATCAATATACGCGGCTCGCGCAGACGGCTCCCGGGCGCCGCCTGCTAAACCGCTTACATATACAGCACACTTGCACTGCAGAGGAGGCGGAGCGCATTCCGGAACTGTGGCGGCATATGCTCTAGGTCGCTCCACTCCCCAGTAACATGGATAAGCACACGCACGAAAGCAGAAGACAGGCGCGGGCTCGGACGCTTGAGAGGCAACACGGCTCCCGACCTGGTGTATTCTACGTAGATATAGCAGGGCCTTCGCCCACGGGATTTTACACGGCCTCTGTAGTTCACCGGGAGAAGCATGTCAATGGGCTCTCGTTCCGAGCACAAAATCCAGAGCGCGCTGAGGAAGTCGCGATAGCGCTTGCTGCTGCGGACCCCAACTCGAAAGTTATCATCACGGACTCCCGGAAAGCATGTACTCATTACTTGGTAGGAGAGATATCCCCCCTAGCCAGCCAAATTCTAAAAACGGGCTCTCGCTGATCCAGCCCCGAAACGCATCGTATGGGCTCCTGGCCATCAGGGCTTACGAGGTAATGAGGCCGCTGACGCGGCCGCCCGAGCGCTTACCCACCGGGCTCCTCACCTTGGCTCTTATGACTCGGAGGCCAATACACCGCTGCTGCGGTTCAAAGAAATTCTGACCTATTATCGCGACACTCACCGCCTTTACCCGGCTCCTGCAAAGGGGCTGAGTAAGGCGGAAGAGCGAACTCTAAGGCGCCTGCAGACAGGTACTCTACTCTGTCCTGCAATCCTAAAACATTTCGATGCTAACACAGATGGGCGGTGCCCACACTGTGGGGAGACGTGTGATATCTTCCACATGGTATGGGCATGTCCGAAAAATCCCCACCTACCCCTACCCCTTCCCGAGAGGCATGGGAGACTGCCCTCCTCAACTGCTCATCACTAGAGTCTCAACGGGCTCTGGTGAGACGGGCGCGAGTAGGGGCCTCGTCATGCGGTGTCCCGGACTAAGGACGCCGACCATGTAGCGGGGTCATGCTTTGGCCCCGTACCGAGGCCTCTCTTTTATAATAAATGTTTTTCATCATCATCATTCGAAACGCGTTTGTGCTGCATTGAAGTCGGTGGCAAGTTAAGTTCAAGTCAAGCAGCGTTTCTGAATAGGGGGGATAGCGTTCCACGGTCCAAGGCTAAGGTGGTGCTTTGGCATACTTGGCGTAAGTTGCGCTTTGTTGGGCACAGACAAGTAGAATTGTAGCAAAATGGCGCAAATGGCGCTTTGGACAACCACTGAAAAATGAGCTACAGGTGAAGTGAACACATGTAAGAAATTTAACTTTCCATTGATCTCGAAAAGGTGCCACTAGCAAAAATCGTAATGAGATCATTTTGCCTGAACATTGTTTGTGCTAGAGGCAGTAGCTTCACTGATGACATGCAAATGCACACAACCAATGGCCACTGCTTTTTAATATCCTAGCTTGTGTTTCAATTATGCAAAACTGTGCTCCCATGTTCAGTTCAACACAGAATAGCTAGGCAATTGCATGCTTTTTAATGTTTCTAATGAGAGCAGCTTTCCCTGGAACAGCCCATCACGGTGTAGAGCCAAAGCAAAATGTAAAAAAAATGCACGGCACACATTCTGCTATGATCACCTCTGTACAATACTTTTTTTCTTTATTTCACGGTGAGTACAGCTTTATAGCATTAGTGTGAACAACTACACAGCAGCAGGATCAACATGCGCATGTCGTGAAATGCCACGTCACATGCAACTTTTCAAAATGGCAAACAGCGACAGATATGCATAATCATGAGGCGGGCTGACATCGCGACAGTGATTACATCTGCAAAGCGCCGGGAAAACTTTAATGCGAACGGAGACGTAAGTCAGCGTGGAAGAGGCACGCGGTCGTACTTGCGCTCACTTTGATGAGCACGTGTTTCGCTGTAAGTATACAGATAACACGCGCGAAAAAATCTGTCAATAAAATGGAAAACGCCAAGTATACGGGAGTTACAAAGGACAAGAAAAGGCCTCTGTGTCAGTAATTCATTATCGCCAAACAGCAGTGCTCACGCTATGTGATGCCTTGAAGGCCAAGAAAAGAAAGACAATTCAGTGAATTGTTGCCACATCTTCGCGACTGAAGCCCATGGAGGGACGTCACTTTGTTTGCTGCACATACGCACAAAAGGTTATGGTTGAAAAGTCCAAAGTCAACTGTGGCATGAAAGTGCACAAGGTATTCAGCAGAGCGTGAAAACGCCTCACTTTGTACATTTAGCTAGTTGATGCAAGTTCACCTGCAGCTTTCACGAAAAATTAAAAGATTTAACCTATCAAGCCATCTCTGCTCAAACATATAGCATAACCAGTGCACCTATGACATGAGTACGAGTCAGTGTTTCAACATAATTTACAGGTTGCCTCAAGTACATTGTATACTGCTCAGCATCACTTTAAATACAACTCTGGAATATCTGGAACACGTGCATCAATTTAAGCAAGGACGCTTGAAATCTTGCAAGGTGCCCTTCAATCCGTTGCACTGCAGACAGAAATGTAGTGCACATACATTCACAGAATGCTGTCAAAATTTTCTTGCTAAAGCTTTAAGGGTGTTAAACACTTTTACTAATATTATACACACCCAATGCAAGCAACACCTTCTCGAGAATAAAACTATACCTTAAAGAATTTTGCTGTTGAATATAACTCATCGACAGCCCAGACTATTACAAGAAGTTCCCGAACCAAACTATTTCTTTGTCAGTAGAGAGCTACACCATCATATTTCCTTTCCACTGAACACTGCGAAAAAACAAAGGTACAAGAAGATTGGTAGTTTTGACAGGTTGATAGATCATGGCCGAGTGGGTTCGCAATGCCAGCACAAACGCAAGGTAGGTTATGAGAGAGGCAAAGCAGATAACACGGCCTGTGCAGTCAGAACTATGCTTCATTAAGGAGGAGAACAGCCAGACGTACAACAATCTTGCATGTTATAGCGCTAATTTTACTGAAACCTGAACGCAATGTTGCATTTTACATCGCTAAACGGGTGCAGTGAACTAAGTGTCTGGCCACAGAGACGAGAACCGAGAACAAAAAGATGGTCACCGTTTGCCACCAAGTAATATTCTCGTGTGCTTGGGTTCATATAGCAGTCACTCCTGCAAATAAAGCACAGCAGTGGCTACAACTGCGTCATTGTTTCTTGCCTTGCCTCGTACACTAGGAGTTCTCACTGCTTCTGTGACTGGAAAACAGTATAAATACTATTTCATATGCCTTTCTCATTCACTGTAAAAATGCTGACGCGTGTATGGTAAGGGTCGCAGAGGGTCCACTTCACGAGTGTCCAAAAGCAATTACTTTCGAAGAGCTGTCGAGGCGACTTATCTTGCACGTCACGCTTGATTACGTGTACGTATAATATATAATACATATATATATATATTTAAAAAGGGTTACAAAAACATGGCAAAACTTCTGTACAACAAAGAACATGCAACAAAATGCAGCCTCTGTGACAAGCGAAAGCGTGTATGCACAAAAAATGTCACAAATACCAACAATGTAGTGAATTGTTAAAAACAAAACATGCAGCTGGTCACATTAGCACAACTCGTAGATCGAGAAAGAAAGAAAAAGGCAACAGGAGCGTCTGCGAAACTGAGTACTGTCACAAGGTGTTAAGAAATTGAGCTCGAAAAAAGAAGTATAAAAGCTTACAACATAAAAAAATATCAATCATAATCAAGTGCCCACGGTAGAGTAACAGCATAACTGCAGCTCAGTGACCTCTGTCCAAATTGCAATACATGTACGTGCACAATCAGAAAAAACAACAAGGTAAAATTACAATGAGCAAAACAGCGTCGAATGACACGTAATAATCACAAACCATACAACACAATAAAAAATGCGATGTGATGCATTACAGTCATATAAATACTTTGCGGTTGACAAAAGAAAATAAGGCTCAATCACGCTGACGAAACATTTCGCGTCGCATGCTTTGTTGTGTACATACGCTCACAATTCAACAAGTCATCTTCAATGAGAAGAGTTCATCACAACAGCAGAATGAATGTATCTAACGAGGAGCCTCAGTTTCGAATCGCTTTTCTTTGCCTGTCCAGCATCCGAAAAGGCAAGCAGCGGGGAAGAACACTGAATTTGAAAGAGAACTAACAGGCGCTGCTGTACACAACATATGCTTAACACCCACTTCCAATGAATGTTGGGACGTCCCAAATCAGTACCGCGAGTGAAACAAAAGTAAAACTGAACACACTAACAAGTGCGCTGGTCATAGTGACAGCAGTAAGCCACAAGGGTTCACACTTTTATTTCCAAGTTCCGAAACAATTAAAGCTATCCGATCAAAGAACAGCAGTGATAAAGATTTTTACACTTTCTTTCTGGCTCCACTGTGTTACCCTGTGATAACATCCCCACATACTGGTTCAGAGATAACAAAGCTTATCGCGGTGCCCTCTTGAGAAGGCTGCATCACATGTCTACATAGTACTTTACACATCACATAAGCATTCTCTCAAAGTGACATTGGGGACAGGAATGTGCGAGACAATCATTCGTCGAAAGTCCTAACGTACCTAATGTTACTCAGGCCAATGCAAAGGAAAAGAAAGAGAAATGAAAATAAATAGTTGCACCACTTGCCGCAACAAAGTAAGACGCAGTCGGTAACAATCTTAAAAGGAAGCAACTTGATCGATCGCGAATATGACTGGAGCCCTGTGCACGCTTACACAACTAGTACATTCAAGGTGGCAGCACCAAATAAAACGAGAACTCGAAAATTTGCAATTAAAAAAAAAAAAAGGCTACGAAAAAGGAATGACCTTATATACTTGCCAACTTTGAGAAGACTCTGTCTGCTTAGCTTTCACATATATGAGAAGTGCTGACGAGGGTCACAATGTAGCATGTTTGAAGTGCAGATGGCAGGAACGGTCTCTAAAAAGTCTTCAAAAAAGTGGCCTAGCACTCGATGTAAACGGTTTTGATAAATGCGTCACTCATATCAAAGCAGCCCACTAAAGGCTGCCGATTGAAGAAATGCCATCCTCTCCTCTTTCTGTATGGTAAGACTCAAACTTACACCTAAAACAGATCACTGTAAACGTTACGCTTGAATTCAGTACGACTGGTAAGATCAGGTCACTAAAAGCTAGCAAAGGCCATAAAGGTGCCACGTTACTATCACATCTCAAGTACCTGCTAGTGGAATCCTAATTACAAATGTGCCACAATATCTGCCGACTAAGCTGCACCTATTTTTCTTTGACCCAACTGTGATGACTGCAAACGACACTGTAAGCTGCTCACAAACTTGTACTAGATTGGATAACGATTCGTATCCACTGTTCTAACACCTTCAATGAGAAACCTAGAGAAGTGGCACCACCATTACTCAATGCTACGACAGGAGGGCATTGTCATCTGCTGCTAACGATGAGCAAACGAGCTGCCTTACTGGCTGCTTCTTCTGGTCGCCAACAGCCCCAGTCTAATCCTCAGGAACGAGAACGAAGTTTCGATTGGCATGCTTTTTGTCCAGCTAAGTTCATCTTGCTGCACCCTTAATAAACACGTAACACCCCTTAGAGTGTAACATCACTCTTGATACTCTACAAAGTAGTGGTAGTACACAGCACTTCAAGAGCACCTACACCTTTTCAGGTTTCGTTTTTTGTCCGAACAGCAGACTGCCACCTCGCCTGCCTGCGTTTCGTTTTTCGAGAACTATGCATTCGCTACTTTCCTGTCAAATATTCAATGCCACGTGGATAACGCACAAGCTGTTCGTGACATTGAAGTAGCAAAAGTGTGGAATCAAAGCCGGGAAAGGCATGCAAGCCTGTGACTCTCGACGTTGCGACCGAAACGTGCCCTAAGGCATGCAAGTGTTGTCAAAGTGCGTGCCTTGAATATTCGAGTAGGTAACACTACATGGGCCATACAGTGTTTGAGAAAAGAAATGAGAATAAACGCACCACTACGGTGTTTGCGAAGCGAAATTACGTTGATAAGATTGCAATCTTCTTAGGAATGATATACACTAAACTTCAGCCTACTTCTTGCTCAGCAAACGTCAATACACAAGTGTAACAAAGTACTAAACTGGGCAGTCAAACCTACAACCGCTCTCACCGGTGACGACTTTGCGCTGGCACACAACATCACAGGAAAGCGGGCTTAGAAACGTGGAAGAAAGTCCGTGGCGCTGACTGCACTGGTCCAATTTGGCGGTGAAGAGAGACAACTACACGTGTTCACAGTGATAGATGGAATGCGAATATTATGCAGGTCGGTCCCTGGCGTGTCAGGGACGAGAGGGAAGAAAAAGAACGCCTAATACTATGATAAAACACGGCAGCACCGGGGTTCTACTCGACGACTCAAAAACTAGACCCCCAGAAGGATGCCGTGGCAGGTGGAGCTGCACCGCGATGATTCTCTTATGTGCACACAACAACCTAATAGAAAGTGCTACTTGGCAATAGGGACGTTTGCCACTGGAGGGACTACCGCCTCTCATATGCTCACACTATGGTGGCCTCTTTCGGCGAGCAGGAAATCTGGCATCAATGTCTCGACAATATCAAGCTGAGACAACCACACGCTGTTCATGTCCTTAAGCGTTCAGTGAGAACAAACTACTTTGAAAACGGTTTCACACTTGTGGAAATAATTTGTTGACTGCTCTTTCCAGCGCAAAACAGGGAATTGAAGAATGCAAAGGAAGCTCTCTAGCTCTACTGACAACACAGCGTAGCTTAATGATCCTTAAGTATCATAGGAAAAGAAATGTGTCTCGCTTAACAACTAATGGGAAATGGCTCTGCAAATAAAATTCTGTGCTATCTGCACCGGCACACTAAGCCTCACGACGAGCACTTCTCCACCACACAGCAACGACGGCAGCGGAAGGCCACAACTTGTAATGCACGCGCACCAACAAGCTCGAGGAAAAGCTTGCCCCAAGCGAAACTAACGCAGTGCCCATGCATCGACACTTGCTCGCGATAAAATCTGCGCGGAGAAACTATCACGGACTAATTTTAAAAAAGAAGGCCTCTTCTGGGGGGTGTGTGTGGTCCACAGAAGGCAGAAGCCAGCCCAATCCTGTGGTCAAGTACCCGAGAGACATCTGCCTTATGGCGTCGACACTGAGGTCAGCGCCTCTCAAAAACAGTCACGACATTCAGTGACTTCCCTAGGCTGGACCTCGAAAAATGAGCAGGAATGCCTAATGAGCTGGCTTGGCCCCGTTTTTGGTCTGCCCGTACGGGCCCCGAAGCTCGCACGCGCAATCGTGAGAAAAAGGCGCGCAACAGGCCCTCGGCTCTCCTTTGGGATGCGAGCCGTAAGGAAACAAGAAACGAGAAAAGGAGATAATACAGGAAACAGCTACACGCAATCCTCCAGCGACATCAGTAGCGGGTTGACGTACTCGAAGCCCTCGAACTCCGACTGGTCAATCTTCGAGATGAGTCTCCTGAAATAGAAACAAAAAACGTAATGTCAGGAAAGTGCTGGAAGCCCAGAAACATAGAAAACTGCGCATAGAAAACGCATAGAAACATAGAAAACTGATCAGATTACAAATTAAAGCCAGAATTTGCTACGGTCAATTACGTATCATCAGGAATGCGACTGGCACGATGGCGACAGCCACATGTACCAAAAGCTAGTTTGCACGAAGCAAGTTCTTGAGAAAAGTATGAGAATCGTGGTAAAAGTGGCAATCCCACGAACGTGTTTGTTTCTATATGAAGCATTCTTAAATATGTTCTACTCTGCCTAATGACGCATGTCCCTGTGCTTGTAGTGGTCAGAGCACCAGGTTTTGGCAATGGAGGCCAGAAGAACAAATTCTAGAGTCGGAACGTTTGAAATATATAATCATACAACTTTATGCTTATTCAGTGTGCACGTTGTGGGAATTGAGGCTAGCCCAGCTGCCTCTGCGCTGGGCTTTGCCGCCTTTTCTGCTGTTCTCATGTCCCGACATGTCTGCCCTCCTTTGCTGTCTGCCGCGCTGAGAGAGCAGAGTGACGTTTAACTCCTTCACCCGGTAGCGGATGTTGACTGTGGCGCCGCAGCGTGGAGCCTCCCGAGAGGTTTTCGCGCACTGCGTCAGGAGCGGACAGATACTCTCGGGACTGCAACAAACTGGTGAGCCACGCAATCTTTTCCGTCCGTCGACTCCCGTCACTCGGGGCTCGTCGGACTTCGCTGTCGGCGCCTCGCACCCGAGGCGAACGCTCACCTTTTGTTGCCCCGCTGCGTACGCACGGCCGAAGGGCGGTACGGTGTCCTAGTGCGTGGCCTGGCTACGCCGACCCGTCTCCCTCTGAAGCCAACGCGAGCGTCCTTTGCCCTCGCTCGAGCAACCGGGCCTTGGTCCCGGTGTCTCCGTGGATCATCTTTACTGCGGAGACGTGCTCGTGGCACCCTGTGTAGTACTTCTGTGCTCGTGGCGTGGATAATCCTATTTGCTTTCCCGCCCTGCCTTTTGCAACGGGCTGTACTGCGTTTGGTGTTGCCACAATAAAGTGTTGCGACTTTTAGCAGTATCGCGTTCTCGCCACGGCGACGGTTAACGCGTGCTCTGCGGCTAACGCGTGCCCTGCGGCTCGCTAAGACCGGACCCACGCTGGTGGCCGTACTTCTTCGGGATACGTGTACGCCACAACGTGCATAGTGCTGATATCACTTACCAGCTACGTCACCCATCTGAAACCCATTGCAGTAGCTAAAGAAACACTATCCATAATTTACGCTATCATAACACCAACTGCATCATGACGCAAGAGCAGCTCATGCAGAGAAATCTGGCACAAGGTCTGAAAACAATAACAGCATAGGCAGCTTACTACACAAACTCACAGTAAAATGCACAAATGAGATCCGACAAAACTGCACTGAATAATCGAACCTCCTGCAAGGGATAAGCAAGGCTAATCATATCGGCTAAGATTTTAACATTTTCAGCAAAGCAGCACGAAGCAGCAGATGCATTTGTGCACGGCTACTAGTCTTTTTTGCTCCCATGCTAGTTCTTGATGTAGTTTTCTTTAAAACTGAGCATGCAACTGATCGAGAAATTCAACATGCCACCAACAGTGCAAACGACCAAGCAACATCACATTTTTTCGACTTATCCCTAGCTTTCAACTCTACGGAATTGTGATGTGTAGACAGACAAAAGCGTGAGTGCCAAATGAAAGTGGAGAGACAAACAGAAAGCAGCAGATGTCTTGTCAAATGCCTCATTGCAAAGGAATGCCATGGCCAACAACACACCCGCCAGGCAACAGCGTTCGAGTGTTAAGGAAACAAGCAAGCGTCCCATCCGTGTATGGTAACGTGCAACTGTCCGCTCTCGTGCAAGATCGGCCTGCTCTGTCAAGCTATCTCGCACGCTGCGCACACACTCAAAAAGCAGGTGACACGGCACTGATAGAGCTGTAATCTCGGAGATCAGGCGGGGCACCTGTTTGCGACGAACCAAGCTGTTTGTGTGCACAGTCCGGAATACTGAGACAAAAATTCGATGCCTCAGGAAAAGAGTACCAATGGGCTTGGTTGTGCATTTAAAGCGCCATTGTGGGAGCAACGGGTCCCATCGCAGTGTGGTAGTCATCTCCACCTTATTGGCGTGGCTTTGCAGCAGTGACTGCTAAGAGTGGCTTGCTTCTTTGTTGGCCAGCAATACCCAAAAATGTGGACGAGAGAATGCTCGACACGGTAGCTCTATTGGTAGCATCAGACAAATAATTGCCTTCATATGTACATACAGCCACACACACAAAAAAAAAAGTCGGGCAAAATGCATCAATATTACAACATCTCCACTCCTCATTCACTGATCTTTTTCTTCACCTTTTTTCGTTGGTTGGATTGTAGGGTTTGACATCCCTAAGTGACAGTCTGTAAGAGATGCTGTAGTGGAGGGTAGCAAACAATTTCGAAATTTCTATGGTTCTTTGAAGCGACCCTGAAACAGTTTTGTCAGCATTTAGGCCAGAACATGATCAAACCATTCGCACTACAAGGTCAAGTGACACACCGTGTACCAAGGCCGCTACGGACAACTATATCATACCCTCCTGCCGACCTCTGCCTGGCCTCAACTCATAAGTGCACTTTACGATTTGAGCTTTTACCAGTCGAGACATCCGAAATTGCACGCCGACAGGTTGTGCGCAGTCTCAGAGGTCATCACACAGTGCGCCCGGCAGCACGCACGGCGTCTGGCAACAGAGACCAAGATTGCTGAGTGGTTCATATCTGCTCCGACAGGTGCCGCCACCCTACCAGCCGATCTTACTTCTGTGCATTCTACAGCCCATCACAGCCAATCATATCAGCAGCCACTGGCGACATCAAGTGGCCAGAGCATGTCGCTCTGTTAATGGGCAGTCGATAATGCGTTTGGCCGAGTCACAGCGATCTGCTCAGATTTTCAGCAATTTGCAGCTTTCAAGGGTTGTAATATATTACACAGTTTATGCAGAGAGCTCAAACTGATCTCTAAGTGGCCCTTAGGACTTGGCCTACCAACCTCATGTGTTTGTACAAAATCACCAAAACCCGTTTCAGGGTCCCTTTAATGTGCCTCAGCATTTTGCACACAGACCACATTCCTGGGTCTTTCAAGTCAATGTGATACGTAACTGTTTGTCTTGATCCTCAGACTTGACACCCCCAATTCAGCATAGCGAATCAATTTTATCATTGCATTCTGATATGAATGAGCTGCAGTACGACGACAATGTGAGTGAACAATGCTAAGTGTCTGGCTTTGCCAAAGAGACAAGAACTTTGTGTTCCACGAGCAGGGCATTTTCGACGAGCAGTTGCATGCACCCGTCGAACATTGACAGTAGATTACCTTTAGGACGAACTCCAAGGGACTACGATCGTTCGTCTTATCAGAAGTTCCCCCAAAAACCTAACACTAACATGCCAAGTACACATAATATGGTGCTTGAAAACACTGCACAGGTATACTTGCAATGGTGAGGGAAGGAACAAGAAAAAACATTTATTTGGCTCAGCTTGATAAAAACTATTTTTTCAAGTAAAGTATTTCGACTTATCTAATGAGTACTCGATTTTGGGAGTTCGTAATGAATACATATGCTCATGAATAAATTGCTACCACATTTTACCTAACAATAAAACTGTACCTCGACCCTATTTTGACGACCAGAAAAAGATAAAAGATAGAGAGACAAGCACAATTTTCCTTGAAAAAAAAAAAATAGGGAAAATTATTCTTTAGGCTGCTCACCTTCCGAGAGGCTGTTTTACTGGCTTTGCTACCACTTTTAGATACGCCTTCATTGCATACCGCTACTTGACAAAGCCAATATACACCAAGCTGCTTGTGAGAGTCGGCAAGCTTTTCTTTGGGGATTCGGATATTTTCTTATTTTCAACCCGCAGCGACTTGCAGCCGAAAATCTACATTTACGCTAACTCATGATCACGTGCCTCGGGCGCACTAAAAAGACATGACACAGCTATATTTAGTGTGGAAAATGGCCTTCCTCTGTCGTGCACTTTCATAATGAAAATGGTGCATCCCAATTTGCTGCATTTCACTGGGAACAGATACGATGTGCACAGGCTCCATGCAAAACAATGCAAACTGACCACAACCTGTACTCAGGCATCATTGTATGGCGGCAATGACAATGCTTCTGATTCCTCTAATTGGAGTGCTAGTGCTGCATATGTGGTTTTGTTTTCATGTGATTATAATGTACAGACTATCTTTGTTCCCGTTTCCACTTTAATTGGCTTCATTTTTTCGCCACTTCCCTTGTATTGTCTTCTCTAGCCAAGTTCTTGTGTTCATCTGTTCTTCATTGTACTCTGGTTGGCGGAACTGAAGAACACGAGGAGAATACGAAAGGGCGAACGCCTTTTGTTGCTTCCTTTGCTGATAAAGCCGGCACTTCCTCTACCCACAGGCTACAAGTGAGGGGGATACCAGTTTTATGCATTGACCTTTCTTTTCCACTTATCTCGATTTCTCCCTCCACGTAGCAATTTGCCACCTATTTGCCTTGAGTCCTTGTGCCTGGAAGTTTTATTTTATTATAATTTTTTTTCCATTTTGCCTTCTCTTGTTCACCTGAACGCCCCCCTCAAGACTATAATGTTCGTAGCTAGCGCAGAATCCCCGTCATTGTCGGTGGCTGCGATAGTTCGTCTTAACAGAAGAGGCCTGTCACATGGCCTCTTCTGTTAGCAAACACGGGAGTGTTTGTGTGATTCGCCTTAACGGAAGTACGGCTTAATGGAAGTTTACTGTACATTTGTGCAGAAGTTCGAAATATATGTAGAAGAACAGCACATTCTTGCAGAAGCAACAACAAGAAAAGTGCACTTGGAGCGCCGTGTAAGGTAAAAAGTTGAGCTCATGCTGTCTAAAGCTCTTCAACAAGAACAAACAGCAGATGCAGCGACTCATTTAAATATCAGGTGGATTCGACTTCCTGTCTAAAAGACAGCAGGGCTTTGTCATAGCCCTTGACGACAAAAACAGAAAATAGACTAGGTGATAACTGGAAAAGGCTGCAGGAATGGAAAGTTGTACGGAAGAGAGGCCAATAAAGATGCGCAGCTTATCCTTGACGCAAAAACAGACTGCTCTGGCTGTGAGCAGACGACGGACAATAAAAGGGCAGTACACTCTATAAACGCGCACCGGGCATGCTGGAGTCGGTATTCTTAGCCAAGTAAACGTATACCTTTCGCAACTGCTTGGCACGCCTGAACATGTCTGAACTAAATGCTCTTGTTGTCGGTGTCTGAAGCCCCAATCTTCGCTGCATCGAACCAGATGGCAGCACTCGCTGGCCGACAACGTAGGGAACGGGCAGAAACCGAGCCAAGAGTGAGGCAGGAAAAGTGAAAGCATCTGACACGACCTCAGACACCTGTCACGCCATGCTGCCCAAGCAACGCGCCGAGCCAAAATAGATAACAGCACCCACAAGAGATAAAAAAAAAGGTCGACAAAGAGGACAAGCAGGCTGTTGGGAATGCGTGCGCGATGACGCATGGAAAGGTCACCAGACAGATAAGTGGCAGACAAGAGTGATAACGCAAATTCTAAATAAAATTCACAAAAGGAGCGCCAAGTGAAAAAAGGTAGCAGCTACAGGAAAACGAAACGGCTGTCTGATCGTTCACATTTTGCGGTATGGTTCTTAGAAGACCTAAAGTGGCACATTATCTCAGCCAGCCTCTCTTCTGAGCACATTACTGTCGAAGCAGACGTCCTGTCCTGCATCGTGCCCGCTAAGTGTCCAGTCCCAAATGCTATCTTCGGACTGTTTCGTGCTGTCACATACAGATATCAAGGCTGACACGTGAATGCCAACTAGTGCTTATACCCATGCAAAGTCCTACAAAAGCATGTTTATAAACTTCACAATACTGTCATCATTTGTCACTGTGCCCCGCAACATTATTAGCTCTAGATGGCCGAAGCAAAAATTAAGGCAGCAGTGAATCTCACTTCTTGGCATAAAGCTTACAGTTACTCAAGATAGACTACTGGGAGGGTCAGTCCCTCTTAAGCAGCTGTGATTCGAACATCTTATGAACTAGGATATTGGCTTGCAAAACCCCATGAGATAGCCATAATAGGTGGACTCTGGATTATTCAACTGCCATTGCACTTTTTAATCATGCACCTGCGATCTAAGCACACGCATGTTTTTAACATTCAGCCCCCCACTGAAATGTGGCCATCTTGGCTGGGAACCGAACCGGCACCTTTACATTTAATAAAGCAACACTTGAGCCTCTTAGCCACCACAGTGTCTCGTTTGGGGCTAGGTAGTTGCCCAAAATGTTGCTGCGAAAATGATTGCACTCTCGAAGGACTAGGACACTACTTTTAAGATATTTTCAAACACGAATTTCAACCAACTCACTTAACTATCAGTGCTGATTCACTACTTTAGGATACCGGCACCTACGACAGATCAGCATAAGCAGAGGATGGTGCAGAGGGAAAATCGCAGCAACGAAAGGCGTGCTTTGGCTTGCAACGAGGGACTTTGCTGCTCTGGCCATTGATCCCTTGGCCACTGAATCCCTCGTGCATTGATCCCCTTTTTCCTTGCGGCTGTACATGACACAAGTTCCCTTTGCTCACAGCAAACCCCACCATGCTTCATCAGACCTCCACTCCTACAAGGTATTGTGCATTTCTCACTTCAGTACAAAGAGATAAGAGTGCGAAATACGAGAGAATGGAGCGTCAGAGAGGGTGTGAGAAAAGTGAAAAGAAGGCCACTCACGTATCATCGGGAGTCAGCTGCACGGGCTCGCTCGTGAACTGCGGGTCAAAGTGCTCAAAGTCGCGCTCCGTGCCAAGCTTGGGCTTGTATGGCGGAGTCACCTGTTTTCCCTCCAGCTGAATGAAACAAGACCATGAGAGACACGAACGTTACTGGGCATGCTCGACTTGGAAGTAACAAACAATGTAGAAGAGTCGGGAAACACCAGAAACGCCATACAGTATCATATAATAGAAATATAATAGAAAGGCCACTACCTGCTCCCAATTGATGCTCTTGAAGAATGCATGCGACATGATGTCGCTGAAGCCTGTGGTCGGGTGACAACCTAGCCTCTCAACAGGGTTCTGGTCAAAAGAACAAAGAAGGCGTGAAAGGCAAAAATGAGTTGGCTGGCTGAGAATAGAATGCGACTTGGCGCACTACTCAAGAAATAGAAGATGCAATGCACCTACAAACACCTAAGTGCTGGCACTCACAATCTTCCATTCAGCTATGAAAATAATTTATACATTGGAACATCCGAACATCCATTATACGACTTTCAGGGGACAATTCAAAACCGTCGTATAATCCCCTATACTTCCTTAATATAATTGTCAGTCAGTTCTCATAAATATTGTCTCTAACAAAGTAAACAAGCATTTAAGTTTACTCTTCTATCCATCTAAACATTAACACAAACCGACATTCCACTGCAAATTACATGGTAATTTATTACACTTGTTTAAGAACAAGTTTTATGTTAACGTTGGCACCCCATGCTGACATAGCTGGTTGTAATTTAAGCAAGTGATATCGTAATGAGCACCAGCTTGCTCATTGCTGCCCAATTTTTACAGACCATTTTACGTAATGTTACCCTTTATAAGACACACGGATGTAAAAGACCCTTGGGTATAAGAGACGCTGGTGTGCCTACATTGAAATAGGGGTTAAGCAAATGCATACGTGGTACCTGCTTATAAAAGACATCTCATACAAAAAACAAATTGCTGCTCAGTGCACATCCTTTAAAAAGGCTTCAACTGTATTTGTAGGAGATCCCTCCTAACATTCTTAAAACATGTGGCCCGCTTTGAGTAGACACCAGTGAAGAAACCAGAACTGAAACTTCACAGACATTGTCAGTGCAAGATGAAATGTTTAAAGTATTGAACTCACCTTGTTCAAGAACCCTTTGAGCACAGACTGAGCCTTGACGGAAATAGAGCGTGGAATACGGATCGTCTTCTCGAGGATTGCTGTAGAATAAAAAAAAAAGGAGGCAGAATAGGTTATGAAAAAATCAATTCTTTAAAATTAGACCGCTAAAGCATACACCTCACCAATTATTGAAGCCTCACCATTTCAAAATTTCGTCACAGCTTTTCGTACTTGTGAATGTTTAACTCACAAATCAGCCAATGCAGCCTAAGAAAAAATTGCATAATATTACTGCTAAACTGCAAAATGGTACAAGTCATGGGGGAACACACAGCACAGGACAATCAGAAACATTTTCTTGTTCTTCCATTTTATGTCCTGTACCAAATTTGCACTGAACAGTTTAGCATTATGAACGATCTAGCCTGGCAACTAAATCTCTTGAGATGAATAGTATTATACAGTTAACACTCAATTTAATGAAACCCAATTTTACGAATACCCCGACTGAATGAACAAATGCTCTCGACCCCCGATTCAACAAAATAATCCCAAATCCCCTCAATTTTGTTTAATCGGGTTTTAACTCCATGATCTGCACTTATTATAATGGACCCATTAACAACAGGACTCTTGGATATTGCAAACTATTATTCAGTCTAAGTTTGCTCTCCGCATTAAGTTAGTCAAGGCAAAGTTTGCTTTTAACGAACCGCAATACAACGAACTATCGGCTACAGCGAACGAAATGATCGACTCTTTTTCTAAACTGGGAGCGGAAAGGGTACTTTTGGAGTGTTGATGCGGGATGCAAGCAGACCTGATCGTGCCGCTCTCTGTGCTATCAAATTGTGGCTGGCAACATAGATGACTTTCAGCCAAGCCAAGCTTGCAGCCAAGTCAGTCTGAGCGCACGTTGGTTACACCAATGGCACAAGTGTTGCAGCTGACTGAAATGCAGCGCAAAGCAATTGCATCATCGTTCAAGGGTGCTCGCTAAGCTCTTCATGCAAATTTCTTCTCAAGCTAAATGTAAACAAAGTTTTTGTTTGTGTTTTGCTTGGGACATTCGTCACTCATCACAGTAACGTTGTTGGACATCGCGACCAATGTTTTCAAAGTAAGACTTTCCGGTGTGCCAAGTAGGTGGGCTCTGCTGTCAAATCCGAATATTAATGCGAGAGGTGCTTCTCAGTTCAGAACTTTAAGATCAACTTTGTGCCCTCCAGCGGGCCGTGGATGTTGCGCGAGAGTAACAGCTCCCAGCGGTCAATAGGGGGCCCCGTTTAGGCAGGTATGTCTTCCCGTCCGCAGAGATACAAAAAACTTATTCCAGGCCAATCGACAGAAGTGGCTGAAAAAGCCTGCTGCTCTTTTGGAAAGATGCTGTCGAATACCTTCAGCACGTATCAGCAGAACTAGCCTGCCCTATACTGTGGACCGAAATCGAAATAAATTGTTGAGCAACAACGCAACCCCCACTCACCCACCTTTACACATTTAAATATTGTGGACTCCTTACAAAACGGAGTTGTTTCACCACATTATCACAGCCTGTTGAATGAGAGTAGACTGTAGTATGGTTTATATTGTAACTAACAAATACAACGCCGGAAGCTAAAACAACTATTTATTTATAGTGAACTTGATGCCCTGTCAACTAAATACACAAAAGTTGTCCTGTTCTCGCTAGTGAAAACCTCGAACTTCTTTTTGCGTCTCGCCGCGTGCCGCTTCTTCGAAAAGCCACAAGCCTTCTTTTTCCAGCGCGTGGTGTGGTGGCACGTGCAGCCAGCGATGCATGGCAGCGTTTGGCTTGTCAGTTGGTGTGGCAGAATTCATAAGAGCAGGAAGTGGCGCAAGACTTCGGTAGGTGCCTAACAGCATGTGGTATTAGTCCCCCTCCCGAAACGCATCGTCCCGATGCGTACGCTGACGTCGAACAATTTTGTAAAGGAGTATTGATTGTAAAGGAATATTGATGTGCTTTCGTTGATTTTTCTGTACACGCTCCTGCAATGTCCCAGGCATGGGACAGCAGTACTTGTAAATAAAATAATAAATAATGCTTGAGCTCATTTAGCAGTTGTCTCGTTCAGTGCCTTTCGTAGTACGGTTTCATTCGTACTACATGTATGACTTCTGGGCGATTCCTGCGTCTGGTTGAGCACACTTGACCTTCAGGAATTACTTCATAGTTTAGCATGCCTAACCGGCGAAGTACTTTGTAAGGGCCGAAATAGCGCCGCATCAGTTTTTCAGATAGGTCAGGTGCGTGTGCAGGCGTCCACACCCACACTTTGTCTCCGGGATTGTAATGTACGTCTCTCCGCTTCAGATTGTAGCGACTTGCGTCGAAGCCTTGTTGTAAAATGACACGATGTCTTGTCAATCGCCGTGTCTCTTCTGCCCTTTCTATATAGTCGCTGATGTCCGGGTCATTCTCATTCGAATCGTTGACAGGTAACATCGAGTCTAAGGTCGTTGTGACCGTCTGACCATAAACAAGTGGCGTGAAGTTACTGCGGTATTGTACAAGTGGACAAGTGGCCACTCAGGACAAGTGGCGTTTCTTGTACTGCGGTATTGTACGCAAATGTAGCAAAAGGCAAAATACTGTCCCATGCCTGGTGCTCAACGTCCACATACATCGAGATCATGTCAGCAAGAGGTCTGTTGAGTCTTTCGGTTGATCCGTTTGTTTGTGGATGGTATGCTGTAGTCCTTCTATGGTCGGTGTGGGTGAGCTTCACAACAGACTGCATCAAACGGGCAGTAAATGCTGTTCCTGTCTGTAATGACAACCCGCGGTTCGCCATGTCGTAGAACAATCTGAGTGACGAAAAACTGGGCTGCTTCGTTCCCCTTTCCTTTTGCGAGAGGTGATGTCTCAGCATATCGAGTCCCGTAGTCTGTTGCTACAATAATCCAGCGCTTTACCGGTGAAGAGAGAGGAAATGGACCAAGGAAATCCATTCCCACTTGCTGAAATGGCCTTTTAGGTGGCTCTATCGGATGCAACAGACCCGCTGGTGTCGATGGTGGTATTTTGCGTCTTTGGCGATCCCGGCATGACTTGACATAATGGTGCACCGAATCCCTTAATTTTGGCCAATAATACTTCGGGTGGATTCTGGTCAAAGTGCGACTACTACCCATATGGCCAGCCGATGGGTCGTCATGACACACTTCTAAGGTTTCTGCTCGCAGTGATGATGGTGCAAAAAGCAGAAATGTGTCACTGCTTTTTCCGAAGTTGCGCTTGTATAGGACGTTGTCCGGAGGACATAGGATGTCAATCCACAGACGAAAACTCCTGGTACCTTAATTTGATGACCCTCCAAGTATTGGATAAGCGGGCATAGTTCCAGGTCCATTCACTGAAGACGAGCCATCTCCGACAAATTCAGAACTCCAAGAAATGGGACGTCTTGTTCTTGGTCAGATGATGGAGACTCCACAGGTGCGCGAGACAGGCAATCCGCGTCATTGTGCTTGAGACTGGACTTGTAGACCACAGTGATGTCATGTTCCTGCAGACGCAGGCTCCATCTAGCAAGTCTTCCCGAAGGGTCCTTGATATTTTCCAGCCGATACAATGAATGATGATCACTGATTGCTCGAAACGGTCTCCCGTAGAGGTATGGGCGAAACTTGCTGATAGCCCATATAACTGCGAGGCACTCTTTCTCTGTCGCTGAGTAATTGGACTCGGTATTCGATAGAGTGCGGCTCGCGTAAGCGATGACCTTTTCTTCTCCATTTTGCCACTGAACAAGGATGGCAACAAGACCAACGTTACTCACATCGGTATGTATGTCTGTATCCGCCTTTTCATCAAAATGGGTAAGTATTGGAGGAGAATGCAAACGGCCTCACAACTTTGAGAAAGCTGTTTCTTGTTCTTCCCACCAAGAGAATGGTACACTTTCTTTCGTTAGCCGTGTCAAAGGCTCAGCGACCTTAGCAAAGTTTTCAACGAAGGGTCTGTAGTAGGCACATAGTCCCAGGAATCATCTGACGGCCTTTTTGTCTTGCGGTTTCGGAATCTGCTGCAATCTTTTCCGGGTTCGGGCGGACTTCTTCCGCACTAACTATGTGCCCGAGGAACCGAAGCTGACAAAATCCAAAGTGACACTTTTCCGGTTTGATTGTCAGCGCTGCCATGTGAATGGCATTCAGAATTGTTCTCAGTCGGTGGATGTGCTGCTCGAAGATAGAGGAAAAAACCACTACATTGTCGAGGTAGACGAGACACGATTGCCACTTGAGTCGGGAGAGCACAGTGTCTATCATCCTCTGGAAGGTAGCGGGAGCAGAGCACGAACCGAAAGGGAGCACTTTGAACTCGTATAGCCTATATAGGGTCACAAACGCAATCTTCTCGCGATCTTGTTCGTCCACCTCGATCTGCCAATATCCACTTCTTTTAAAAAGTCCAATGATGAAAAGAAGTGAGCATTGCGTAACTTATCCAAGGCATCATCGATCCGCGGAAGGCGGTAAACATCACGTGTTGTGACTTGATTTAGCTTTCTGTAGTCAATGCAAAATCGCAGAGTGTTGTCCTTTTTGACTAGCACTACCGGTGATGCCCACGGACTGTTCGATGGCTAGATCACATCATCGTTGAGCATTTTCTGCACTTGATTCTTGATGGCTTCCCTTTCTTTTGGCGCTACTCGGTATGGGCACTGATGCACAGGTCTTACGTGTTCTTCGACCACGATGCGGAGATGTAGAACGATTGCTTTTTCCACATTACAGATGGCAACGGCATTCTCCGTAGAAAATGAAACCTGGGACTCTTGCAAGTCAATGACTCAGTCGCATTGTTTGTTTGCAAGAAGTCCATGCCTATAATCAGTTCATGGGAGCATTCAGATAAGCATAATAAAGCTGCCGACATACACGAATCCTCTTATTCCTATCCTTGCGGTGCATAACCCCACGGGACTAAGTGCCCTCCAGCAGTACGTATCTGAGGTCCAGTCCATTCAGTCATCACCTTCTTCAGCTTTTTTGCGAGAGCATTACTGACAACGGAATAGTCTGCACCAGTGTCTATTAGCGCAATGGCCTCGACGTCATCGATCGTCACTAATATCTCGGAGGTAACGTTGTTATTACTGTACTTGTCCATCATTGCGTAACTGCCGCCGTCTTGTTGGGCTAACAATGGAGGGTCTTCAGTTGTCAGTATATCAGCCTCCAGAGGTCGCTGGCTCTAGTTTTCCCGCCGCAGGTTAGGTAAACGTGGTCTTTGGAGATTTGATGAAGGACAAGGACTCGGCGGCCGATAGCGCATCGGTGCTGTCGAACGCGACTCCCGTTGTTGCTTACCTTGAGGTGAATAGCATGAAGACAAGTACTCTTCGATTTCCTAGGGTCGTTCACCGTTCCGCGGGCATGGTGCATTGACTGGAAAACCACGCAGTCCCGCTCGACGATACTGGCACGCCCAGTAAAGGTGACCTGCTTCTCCACAGTGGCAGCAGAGGGGCCGCCGGTCTACAGTGCGTCATACATCGCTCTTATGTGGTCTTGCTTCTGGCATTGGTAGCGGTGTATTGGGAGAAAATGTCGGAGGCGTCACAGCAGTCGTAGCCGTCCGATTCATGCGTCTGAGGTCCTGTCGTACAACTTGCGGGTACGACAACTGAGGCGGAGGCTCCGGTTGTGCACGCTGTAGTACCTGAGGTTGTGGTTGAAGAACCGCTTGCCACACTTTTTCGCGCACAACGTCGGCAAGCGAGGACATCGCTGGATGACCTTGAGTCATTTGTATTTTCTGAAGTTCTTCCCTTACGACAGCCCTCACCATTTCACGTAAGAGGTCAATGTTACTCGTGAGGGTTGTCGACGCCGCACTAACAGATGAGACGCTTACATTCCTGTTGTATTGGCACACGCGCTGCTGCAGCGTCTTTTCTATCATTGTTGCCTCTGATCTGAACTCAGCAATAGAAAGGGGTGGATAACGCACCGGGCCTGCAAAAAGCTTCTCCTTCACTCCACGCATCAGGTGCCGCAACTTCTTTTCCTTAGCAATGTTCGGGTCGGCCCGGCAAAACAGTCGGGACATGTCTTCGATGTACATGGCGGCGCTCTCGTTGTTCTCTTGGTTTCGCGTCTGAAGAGTGGCCTCTGCCTATTCTTTGCGGTCCGTGTTTGGGTATGTAGCAAACAACTCCCTTCGAAAATCGTCCCACGACAACAAGGACGCTTCGTGGTTTTTGAACCACGTACACGCAGAATCTTCCAGTGCCACGCAGACGTAGCGAAGTTTCCTGTCTTCGTCCCAACCGTTCAGTCTGGCGGCGCGTTCGAAACTGTCGAGCGAGTCCTCGGAATCCTAGAAAATATCACCGTGGAATACCTCTGGTATTCAGGGCGGGTCCATAACGATATGTGATGGAAATGAAGTCGCTTAGGCGGCCATTGCAGGGGCTCCGAAACTTACGGCCTCCACTGGTCTGAAAGAATCGAAGAGGGCACCAAACACGGGCTGCTCACCTCGTAGGCGGCGATTCGTGCGTTGGTGCATGGGAGTCAACTGCCGTGGCTCCAACCTTCGAGGTTCCAGGCTATGTTCCCTAACCTGAGATGGGCTTGGAATCATACCCAGCACCTCCACCAGTTTGTAACGAACAAATACAACGCTGGAAGCTAAAACAACTATTTATTTATGGCGAACTTGTGCCCGTCAACTAAATACACATAAGTTGTCCTGAGCACGCTAGTGGAAACCTCGTCAACTTTTTCTTTTTGCGTCTTTCTGCGTGCCGCTCCTTCGAAAAGCCGCCAGCCTTCTTTTTCCAGTGTGTGGTGTGGTGACACGTGCAGCCAGCGATGCATGGCGTGTTTAGCTTGGCGCGTTCGGCTTGTGAGTTGGTGTGGCAGGATTCATAAGAGCAGGAAGTGACGCAAGACTTCGGTAGGTGCCTAACAACATGCGGCAATATTACACATTATGTTGTAATATATTATGCTACAATATGTATAACATTATTTTTTTAGATTAGTTTTTATGCGAAGAACACAAGTGCTCCACAGATCCACGGATGCATGACCCGTGTTTCTAGCATATCTGGATGCATCAAGAGTATGACATCATAGTTTAGCGTATAGAAGACAGATATTTGGGGAGAAACTTCAGTATCATGCAGTATGAAATCATCAGTTTTATTTATTTAATTTGGTCTCATGAGCATCGTGATGTAGCACCACAGTAACAATACTAGCTTCTCTACGAATGAATTACGTTGTTGCCAGATTGCAACGATGCATGCAGCAAGGCTTACGTACCCTGGAAGAGGAAATCTTCGGTGTTCTCGTCGGGATTCTCGCTGGTGCCCATGATGTCGAACGGAGAGTGGCCCGCCAGCATTTCATACAGGAGCACACCCAGCGCCCACCAGTCTACGCTGAAGTCTGCATGACAGTCGACAGAGAAAAAGGTCAGTGGTGCTAAGGAAAGTGCCAGAGCTAACTTTTCACATAGAGAACTTTTCAACAGGTCATCCACCCAGAACACTACCTGATACGAACACTACCTGTTACATCGCATCTCATTCGGTCTTGCCAAGAGGGCTCTCACTGAAATTGTAGTGAGCAACCAACTAGCCCAGTGATATCTTACGTGTAACTGAAGCTACATATCAGTCAACAAGACAATCATAACAGTATTCAATCGATCGGCAATGATTACTGTGGTACTTGAATATAACCTCTGAGAACATGGACCCAGGTGAGCACAACTGCAACTAAGTTAGAGAACAACCACGCAGGAAAACACTCGGAAAATGACCAACCGTAGTCTTCCCCTCGGAGGATTTCAGGGGCAATGTAGTTGGGTGTCCCGCAAAATGTGCTTGTCGTGTCACCAGGACGAATGCCCTCCTACAAAAGCGAGAGAAGGGCACGAACGTTTCAACCTTCTGCCATGACGGTCTCTCACAGAGATGTTGCAAAGATCTGGTGCAAACGTTTGCATTTCAAGAACACTCAAAACCGAGCATCGGTACAGTAAAGCTGAAATACTTGACCAACAACTCGACAAAATTCAGGGTGTGACGCCAGCAAATTGACAAAATAATTATCCTCAAGACTACAAACCATCATCATAAAACATCATTTAAGGGGAGACGCGGGTCGAAAAGTCGCGTTTTTTTTCCAAATTTCACCTTTTCTGTTTTTTGTTGCTTTATCATCTTTATACATTATATTTTGACATCTGAAAATATCACAGCGAAATAAGCATCAGAAGTCAGTGAAAAACGCGTCTGAGTGAGCGGCAGTGACGCGCGGCATCACGAAATTTACACAAAACGGGCTGCTGTTCGCGTGCTCGCGGGGCCGCGAAGAGAGCTGTCCGCCATATTGCGGCCGCTGGCTCGTGTAGAGTTGTCCTTACTCTCCACGATCCCGGTTCTTGAAGTCTCGTACGTTCACGAAAAATCTAAAAAAAAAGCAACAAAAACAGTCTTTTCCCGCCGTTTCAAACCGCGCGCCACTAACGCAGGGCCGCCATTGGCTGACAGCACCCGTGTTTTCTTGCCGTAGTTCGCTTCACTGTTTTCCGGAGTTATTTTTCGCTGTTTTCGTGCGATGGCAAGCCCGAAAAAGGCCGTTGCCGACCATCGGAAATACAGAAGTAAGAACAAGTTCAGAGGGAAGCGGCGGAGGACGTACAAGAAAGCCACCGCCAACGAAAATGTCCGCGACGGGCCAGCGGCCGGTAGGCCTAACATCGACCACGGCAACGTCGACCATGGCAACTGCGACGACGAGATCAACGCTGCAGTGAATTTTGTGAGTGCATCGCAGAAAAAGATCGCGTTATTCGAAAACGACGTCAGGCCGAATGCCGATCGTGCCGAAAGCGTAGTGCTGTGCGAGTTGGGTGCATTGACGGCCGTCGTCGCAGGCGCGGCATGCCCCGTTTGTCACGAGAGTAAACTCGCAGTTCGGGCACCGAATAAAAAGCGGAAAGGCCTTTCGGCGTTTCTGGAGCTACACTGCGAGAATTCGGAGTGCTCGGAGAGCATCCTTTCGTCCGCGTACTCGTCGAAGCGGGTCGCGTCAGATGGCGGCCGCGGTGCAAGCAGAAGCTACGACAGCGGGAGTTCGCGTGACGCCTTTGCCGTGAACCTGAAAGTGGTGCTTGCAGCGCGTGCCGTCGGTATCGGGCATGAGCAACTTTCACGATTTTGTGCAGTAGTTGGATTGCCAAACCCTATGCACCATAAGACCTTCCATGCTATCGGCAAAAAGATTCACAGTGCGGCAGTGAAGGCTGTCTGTGAAAACATGCAAAGGGCACGCAGCGTCACCAAAGAGGTGGCTGGTAACAGTGACGTGCCAGTCATGTTTGACGGCACATGGCAAAAAAGAGGCCACAAAAGCCACAATGGTGTGGGAACTGTAGTGTCCTTGGACACTGGTTTGTGCCTGGACTATGAAGTGCTTTCCAACTTCTGCCTGGCGTGCAGTTTGCATAACGACATGGGAGGCGATGAAGAAACATGGCAGGCGTTTCATCATCCCGTTTGTGAGAAGAATTGCGACTGTTCTTCGCATGCCATGGAGGCCGAAGCTGCAGTGCGCATTTGGCAGAGGACTGTGGACTATGAGACACCCCTGCGGTTCACCATCTTCCTAAGCGATGGAGACAGCAAGGCCTACAACGGGGTCTGTGATGCCAACGTGTACCCTGACACTCCAATTGAAAAAGAGGAGTGCACCAACCACGTGGCGAAACGTCTGGGCACCGGCCTGCGGAAGCTGCCAACGCCACTTCCACGAGGGGAGAAGCTGAAGGAGACCACCATCCAGAAGCTTCAAACTTACTTTCAGGTGGCCATTGTGAACAATCGGGGAAATGTCCACAAGATGTACACTGCCATATGGGCCTCATGTTTGCACTCGTGCTCAACAGACGGTGCTGGAAGTCACAAGTTCTGTCCTGCAGGCCCAGACTCGTGGTGCAAGCACCGACGTGCTGAGGCGCAGGGCCAGCCTGCACCGTGCCACACCCCCCTCCTGACCAAGGCCCAGGGTTTGGCAGTCCTCCCAATCTACAAGCGTCTCACAGATGCGAAGCTGCTTGCCCGGTGCCTCCACGGCAAGACACAGAACGCGGCCGAGTCCCTGAACAGCAAAATATGGCTGCTGTGTCCAAAGACCCGGTTTGCTTCCCGGACTGCTGTGGAAACAGCCACAGCCATTGCAGTCCTGTGGTTCAACCGGGGCCACGCGAGCTTTGAAAAGGTGCTGGAAGAGCTTGGGGTGCTTCCTTCGGAGGCCCTGGTTACCCTCAGCGACCGCCGAGACAGCATGCGCATGCACAAGATGAATGTGCGTCAGACCGCTGAGGCGAGGGCACACCGTCGCAGTGCAGCCAAGAGGGCCCGGGTGGAAGAGTCCTGCCGCACCAGCCGGGAAGGGAAAACCTACGGTGCTGGAGAGTTTTAGACAACTGATATTCCCTCTGGACATGTGTGTATGTGTTCAGCACAAGTTTCGTGCTACTGCGTTTTTCATTTTTGTAAATACAGACTTTCAAACTTTCAAACGCGTTTTTCTCATTTCGCAATTTTGGCCAATTTGCATTTTTTGCGGGAAGTGTTTCGGGCACTTAGAATGGTCATACGACGACGAAATTTGGCACACACATTGAGGAGAGTGCGTAGGGTGCCGATATCTACTTGAATCAGCACAACCTATCAGCTGTAAATATCTATTAATAAATTTAATGGTGGTCGAGTGGAAAAAAAAGGGTAGTTTGCTACACAGATGTTTTTTTCATAGTTTCAAAGTTGGAGCACAATTTCTAGCTAGATATCGGCACTCTATGGCTAATAGGGAGCAAAAGGAGCCATTGAACAACTCTCTGCATGAACATTTAGTATGCGCGAAAGTTCCCGGAAAACTTATCAAGTTTCACCATTACTTGAAACACAACTCCCAAACTATTGCACTTATGTAAAAACTGATTACAGATTTGGAATCAGGAGGAAAAACTGCATCAGTGGTCCAATTTCTGAAGCTCTAAGTTGAATAACAAAAAAAAAGTGCTTTCGAGGAGCGTCTCCCCTTAAGAGTGTCCGCTGAAAGTATTTCCTTTTAACTCTACAGGACGTGCAGCTACATGAACCTTCGCCGAAGCATATTGTCACGTAGCCAGGAACGACGCAGAGTTCTTGGGAAAAACTAGTTTTTTATTAGAGCGAACCTGTGCTCTGAAATGAATGCCAAAGAAAGATCAATCCAGGTGGTGAAGGAACGGCCCACCGCGAAACGCTCTCCCTATCAAAATGAGATAGTCCGAGGGAGGAGGAAAACATGCACTTCGCTTGCGGCACAGTATGGGTGCGGCCCACAACAGATAGCACGATCGGGCGCAGCCAGATGTTCGCCACGAAACACAGACGAGAAGGCATAGTTCGCGGCATTGCCCCCCGCGAAAAAAAGAGCATCGGCCCGATGCTACTAATAAAAAAAAAGTAGTCAAGAAAAAGTCAGTCATCTGGCGTAGTAAGGCTTAAGCCTAACCACGTGGACAATTTCGGGCCGCGTGCGTCGTCGTGACATGCCATGGTCGCTGTCGGGGACAACCTCGTAGCTGAGTGGGCCTACACGTCGCTGAATTTTATAGGGCCCGAAATACCGACGCAGGAGCTTCTCACTGAGTCCGCGACGTCGAATAGGGGTCCAAACCCACACAAGATCACCTGGGTCATAATCGGCGTCGCGGCGTCGGAGGTTGTAGCGTCCGGCATCCACGAGGTGTTTGTCTGTTATGCGCACTCGAGCAAGCTGGCGGGCTTCTTCCGCGCGTTGTAGGTACCTTTGGACGTCGGTGTTGAGGTCATCATCTTCTACGTGTGGAAGCATGGCGTCGAGCATTGTCGTCGGCTGTCGCCCATAGACAAGCTCAAATGGGGGCAATTTAGTAGTTTCTTGGATAGCTGTGTTGTACGCGAACGTGACGAAAGGGAGTACGTCATCCCACGTCTTATGTTCAACGTCGACGTACATAGACAGCATATCCGCGATCGTCTTATTCAGGCGTTCGGTAAGCCCGTTGGTCTGGGGGTGATACGCCGTGGTCTTCCGGTGATCCGTGTGGCTGTAGTGCAAGACCCGTTGCATAAGCTCTGCAGTGAATGCCGTTCCGCGGTCCGTGATCAGTACTCCAGGGGCTCCATGTCGCAGCACCACTTGGTGGATGAAAAATTTGGCGACTTCTTCTGCAGTTCCCCTTGGGAGCGCGGCGGTCTCTGCGTAGCGCGTCAAGTAGTCCGTGGCTACTACAATCCACTTGTTCCCGGCCCGTGACGTGGGGAACGGTCCGAGAAGATCCATGCCAATCTGTTGGAAGGCCCTCGATGGTACTGCAACCGGCTGTAGGAAGCCGGCGGGTCTGGTCGGCGGCGTTTTTCGGCGCTGGCAGTCGCGGCAGCTCCTGACGTAGTGGGTGACGTTGGACGTGAGACGCGGCCAGTAGTATTTTGCCTTTATCTTTCCCAGCGTGCGGGCCGTGCCGAGGTGCCCCGATGTCGGGTCGTCGTGACACGCTGCCAAGATTTCGTCACGGAGAACAGCGGGGATGACGAGAAGGTACTTTGTTCTCGTTGTAGGGTCAAAGTTCTTCTTCACGAGCACCGAACTTTTCAAAGCGAAGGTGGTGTAGTTGCGCTTAAAAACCCTTGGCACTGCGGCGTTGTGTCCTTCGAGATGTTCGATTAGGGCGCGCAGCTCGGGATCGGCACGTTGTTGAGTGGCAAGGTCACTGTCTGTCACAATACCAAAAAACGGGACGTCATCCTCGGGGTCCTGTGGCGGCTCCTCGACGGGAGCCCGTGATAGGCAGTCGGCGTCCGAATGTTTCCTGCCGG